CACCCAGTGAAATCCATTCAAAATTATCTACTACAAGGGGAAAAGAGGCCTCAGTATAGTACTGGTGTGCCCCCAAACACAGCAGGAATTAGCTAAGAACAGGGATGAGGAAATGCCTGTGGGTGGAAACACCAAGTGTAAGGAGTATTTTGATTAAAAAGAACTAAGAAAATTTCTCGAGGGTAGGTCAGTGTGACAGGTGTTGAGGGTAGGGGATGGGGGAATTTGGTCAGGTGTTGAAAATAGTCAGCTATTGATGGAAGGAAGATTCTAAACCATCTTAGCCGTGTTTTTACTAAAGCAAGACGATGCAGGTCCCACAAGAATGGCTGTCAAGGTTGAAACACGAGTTCAGACTTAAACAGGCTCTAACTTTGTGCCAAAACAGAATCAGTGCAGGCCTGATGAACTTCAGATTGCTATCTGCTAGAAAATAGAATGCAAATAATTTTAAAATTTAGTGAAGAAGAATCTTTGTAAGTGTGGCAGCTAGGCTATTTCAAGTCTTGAAATTTATATATTTACATAATAGATATATAAGTAATGATAAATAAAATTAATAAACATATAAATAAAATTATTGTTATTTATATGTGTGTGTGTCTGTGTGAGTTTATGTGCTCCACATGCATGCAATGCCCATGGAAGGCAGAGGGCACTGGATTCCCTAACTGGAGTCACAGGCAGTTGTGAGCCACCTTATGTGGGTGCTGGAAACTGAATAAGGGTTCTCTGCAAGAGCAGTAAGTGCTCTTAACCACAGAGCCGTTCTTCAGCCCCATAATAAATACTTTCTTATATAGATTTCAATAGTATAAAATGCAGAGGGAGGAACTTGCTGTAATTGCTCAATCTTTCATCATCATTTCCTTATACTAGTCCCAGGATTCTATAAAGACTTTTGGGGATGGAGCAGAGAAACTTCATACCACGTGAAAAAGTAGGGCACCCAAAAGCAGAAATGTGTGGAACTGTTTGCTGAAATGATTTTGAGTATAATTTGGAGTCGGGTGTATAATATGGTATAAGCCCTCCTTAGCATCATGACTACCTTGTTTAGGTGTTTTGTGTACAAAAGGTGATTAGATCAGTTTATTGTGGCTGAAATGAGAAAACAGAAGTTAACTCAAAACTTTAAAGACGTCTTTAAGGCAACTCTCAATGCACTGATGCCGTAATGTCTGCAGATTAAGTTATACCCACCCCACTCCCCGAGAGCACAAAGCCTAGAAGTCAGGCTGTCACTCTAGAGAATAGAGTATCATTAAAAATAGCTGAAAAAGAAAGCTGTTAGTGGATGCATGTGAAGGGGGAGGGATATCACTGACTTTGCTTACTGCACATGCCATTCAGTGCAATCACCCTGAGCTGTTTTCTGAGGAGTCCTCACGATCCTATAATTCCCAGGAGGTATCATTCACTGTTGTGAGGAGGTGTGTTTGAGAGGGGTCAGACTCCCTCAATAGAGTCACCGGTCCAACCTGTTTTTGTGCCCTGTCTGCTTAGGCACTGGGCTCTCATCCTGTTTGCCCCTGTACTGGAGACTCTGCCCTTTTCTTGACAACTACTTTCTTTTGTTTCAGGGTTCAACTTTTTAAATCAATGCATAATAAAAAATCAAGACTGAGGGTAAAACAGGCTATTGTCTAAAATTATCTGTGCTCTCTTTTCTAGCAGATAGCAATCTGAAGTTCCTCAGGACTGCATTGATTCTGTTTTGGCACGCTGTTAGAGCCTGCTTTCACTCTCCTGTCACAAGGGCTAGCCTTCAACTTTGCCATCTCTTTGCCTCTGTGCACTTATTGGGCAGCTGCAACTGTCAAGTACTATGATCTCTAACCACCAGCCCAGCAACAGTTTCTTTGCGAATGCTGCCCAGATCATGAAGATTCTAAACTTTCACTTTTTACCCTATACTCATTTGACTGCGCTGCTTAATTTTTTCCCAACTGCTCACAGTAGAATTTTTGAAAATGCACAATGGGCAATTAGAAAAGACCATGACATTGGAACCTTACCGTCACTTACAATAAGAAATAAATGTCTAGTGTGATATAACATGCATGTATGTAATATACATAATGTGTAACAGAAGCTAAAGTCTGACCAAGTCATACAACCTTGCTATGTGGGATGGACATGCTCTGTACTCTTCATTAGTGTTCATTTTACTTCATTAAGAAAGACTATGGGGCAGGGGGGAGAAAGGCTAGGGGACTGGAGCCATCACTTAGGCATGAAGAGTGTTTACTGGAGTTCTGGAGAACCTGGGCTTTGTTTCCAGCACTCAAACGGCAGCTCACAACTGCCTGTAACTCCAGCTCTGGGGACTAGGCATCCTCTTCCGACTTCTGCAGGCACCAACCAAACAAGCATGTGGTGCTTATACGTACATTCAGACAAAAGACATAAAATAAGATAAATCTTTAAAAAAAAAAACACTACGTTTTAGCAAGTAGTTTTCTGATCTAGTAATAGGTCATAATTTTTGAGCCTAAAAAATGTCCTTACTGATCATCAAATTTTGGAAGCCTTAGGGTGTGAAGTCTGAGAAGGCTTTGGACATTATCCATAGACAGTTTCCCTTCTGCCTCATGTTTCTGGGTTGGAGGAACCTGAAATCCAAGTAGGTTCAGACGTCCTTGCAGGGAGACAGTACTGCTTTGTGTTTGTGCTAGCATACCTATTAATTCCTGGAATCATGGCTGACCCTTGTATGCTCTGTAGGTTCATTTTGTTTTGTTTTTTGACACGGTCTCCCTGCAGTGCAAACTGGTCTGGAACTCACTATGTAGACCAGGGTGGCCTCTATCTCAAAAAGATCCACCTGTCTCTGCCTCCTGAATGCTGGGATGGAAGACAAACCCGGCCTTGGTTTGTAGTTTTGCACCTAGCAGTTATGGCCCTGGGCACCCTTCTCGTTCTGAGTAAGCTCTGCTTTCTTCCCTTTCCCCAGCTGGCTATCCATCTATTAATTTAGTGTCCTGAATTTGCAGCCCCAGGGATGACTTAGTAGAGCAGTGTGTTTGGTGTTTGATGACCAGTACACAGCTACTAATATCATAAACCAAAGGAGAGAATGGGTTGAATAAGGAAGAGTGTATACACACCTACTTATTATATCCCTAAAGATTATAAACTTACCATCACATACATATATTAGCTTTCTGTAGTTGCTTGCATTTTGCTATATTTGATGTGTTTTCATTTTTCCTTTATAAAAAGTATTGGGTTTTTTTTGTATCAAAATCTGGAATTTTAAAATAGCTTTGTGCTATAAACAGAATTGCGTCCCTCAAAATTTTGCTATTGGAAGGAATCAAAATACTTTATGGTCAAATAATTGCATCAGTTTTTGAGTTCTCAGCTCAGTACCATTCATAGAACATTCGTTAGGTTAGGCTGCCATGACAAAATGTCATAGCCTGGTACTTTAACCAACAGAAATTATTTACTCATAATTATTTGCTCATAGGGACAGAAAGTCCAAGATCAAGTTTCTGGAGCATTGCTCTCTGGTGAGGGCTGTGTCTGTGTCTTGTAGACAGACCCCTTCTGACTGTGCCCTCACGGCTGAGAGAGCAAAGGAGCATGTTCTCGAGTCTCTTTTTTTAAAAAAAATTATTATTTTTATTTTATGTGTATGCATGTGTTGCCTGCATGTAGGTAAGTGCACCCGTTTCGAGCAATGCCTGCAGAGGTCAGAAGAAGCTGTCAGATCCCCGGGACTGAGGTTATGGACAGTTGTTAGCTGCCATGTGGGTGCTGGGATTTGAACCCAGGTCTTCTGCAAGAACAACTGGTGTTCTTAACCACTGAGCCATCCCTCCAGCCCCTTGAGCCTCTTTTCAATAAGGCTCTCATCCCCTTTGATGGGGTCTTTCCTACATGGGTTCATCTAACTCTGTCTGCCCGAGATGCTATCTCCAATGCTGTCAGGTTAGGGATTAGGAATGCAATGTGAATTTTGAGGAACACAATTCTGTTTATAGCACAAAGCTATTTTCGTGGGATTTGTGTTTTGGCCGAAATGGCAAAGAATGTTTCCGAATTGATTAAAGACAGGCTTCTATTTTAGTGACTAAACATTTCTCATACCTGATAATTCTTATAGCATTAACTTATTAATGTTTAATTTATTTTATAATCTTACTAGTGATGCAAATATTTAGAAGATAGTTTAAAATTAAAATGGACCAGAGAGTAAATGATCCATTTAAAAAGGTATTTTTTTTGCAGAGATTTCTTTTTCTAATACAGACTCTTTGCCCCATTAAAGAGTTAACGAATTTCTAAATAGCCCAGCACTGTTTCCAAAACTTTATATAACATGAAAAAGCTACTTATCATTAATTAGAATAATACATATTTTAGTAAACGATAGTTTGTGCTAAGATGTATTTGAAACAAATTTTTCCGTATTGAATTTATTGTGTAGATGAGAGACATAGTTCTAAACTATAAAACTGTAAGGAAGCAGGTACTGGTCAACAAGAAATGCTAGAGAGCCACTCCAACAGCTCCCACAAAATACCCATTCAAACAACAACAAAAATGATAAACTGATACAAAAATCACCTTAAACCTCTGTGTTCAGATGCTACTGCTCTGCCTTTATTTCTTCATTTTTTGAAGTACTAGGGTACCCAGGACTTTCTGTATTCTAGGTAAGTACCCTACCCCTGAGTTAGAGCCTCAGCTCAGCTTTCATTATTTTTTAGTCTTTCTCAACTCCTAAATCAATGTTTAATCTTTGTCCGTAGTAGGTAGGTTGTTGATTTAAAAAGTCTTTGACTATTTTACTCTTTTTTGGTTCTAGTTTTAAAGAACTGTGGATAACTTCACCATTTTGGAGGTCCATTCATTTCTGTAGTGGGCTCTGGTATAGAATCAATCAGTGCTGTAGGCCTGGATGTAATGTTCTGTGTCTCCCTGTGGTATTTTCTCCTGCTTGCGCTTACTGTATTACTGTCTGTCTTCCTGTGTTTACTCTTTTTCAGTGTTTATCAGCAGAAGACATCTTTTCCATTCATGGTTTTTCAAATGCTACCCAGATAACCAGCTCAAACTTTTCTGCCATCTGCCCAGCAATTTTACAGCAGTTGAACTTCCATCCCTGCGAAGATCGGCCCAAGCACAAAGTGAAGCCAAGTCTTTCTGAAGGTATCCTGGAAGCATGCATTCTCCCTCACTCGATTTTATTGCTTTTTATTAGCCTGCATGACACCTCCTGATAAAATACCTAAGATTTTGCAAGGGTTTAAAATAAGAACAATTTGGACTCTTTTAAGCTTCATAAATAATACTCTTGCTGCTCGTCGACTCAAGACTGTCCCTAGTACCAATTAAAAACTATAAAATTCAATCCTTTCTTCTTATTTCTTTAGTTAGTTTTCATTGTATATATTCATTGTATATGGTACTGTGCTACATAAGGACATCTTCATACAAGTGCATATTATATATAAAGCCTACTCCCCTTCAGAATGCCCTTCCTTCCCCTTCCACTAGCCCTTCTTTTTCCCTAGACAGTTTCATTTCTACTTTAATGTCATATACATAAATGATTTTATATGCCTATATTCAACACAGTATTGATTTTTAAACAATATGTTATGCTGTGCATACTGGCTTATATATTAACTGTTTGGCTTATAATTGACTGATCCGTTTCCATCACCTGTTGTTATTTAAAACTTGTCAGTTTATCTGCAATTCTGAGTGAAGGAATGAGGAACTAATGTGCTCCTTGATGAAATCTTAAAGCATTGAGTTATTAGTATTTTAACACTCATAGACAAAAGATGGCAGAAACCGATTTGTCTAGAATGGTGTCATCATAAACACAGAATTATAAAGGGATAGTCTGCTGTAGAGAAATTTAAAATATAAAATTCTCTAATGTTTGCTCAATATATAGTTCACTTACTTAAATACATGGAGTATTTTCACCATTGAAAGAAACCAGTTGTTTGTGTCCCTCCCTCCCTCCCTCCCTCCCTCCCTCCTTTTTTCTTTCTTCTTTTTCTCCCTTCTTCCTTTCTCTCCCTGCCCCCCCCTTTTGAGTACTGGGATTAACAGGTATATACTATCTTTGGCTGAAATTTAAAAATTATTTTATTTATTTAAAATTTTTTAATTTATGTGTAAAAGTGCATTGCCTGCATGTATGTAAGTGCACCTGTGTCATGCAATACCCATGGAGGTCAGAAGAGGGCACTGGATCCCTTGGACTTGGAGTTTACACACAGTTGTTAGCTGCCATGTAGGTGCTGGGAACAGAACCTGGGTCCTCTGCAAGAGCAGCCCGTGCTCTTAAGTGCTGAGCCATCTCTCCAACCCGTGTCTGCAATTTTTCGATAGCTTAAAATTGCTAACTTGTTCTACATAGATATTTTGATTTTAATTTGTTATTAATTTATTCATTCAGTGTTTATTGAATACCATGCTGACGTTTGTCCTCCACATTGAGGAGTCAGTAGTGAATGAGAAAAATTCCTTCCCCTTTTAGGACTTTCAATACAGAAGAGAAAGGAATTAATGCACATTTTTTTTTGTTGTTGTTGTTTTGTTTTGTTTGAGAGAGGGTTTCCCTGAAGCCCCAGCTGGCCTGGAACTCACTGTGTAGATCAGGCTGACCTCGATTTCATGGAGATCGACTGCCTTTGAGTGCTAGGATTTAAAGGCCCAGGCAACTGTGTTTGGCCCCTAATACACATTTAAATAAGCAAGAAAATGAATAATATTGTGTCAGACTGATGCATGCTGAGAAGAAAATTCAGAGAGTGAGGGAGACAGGTGTCATGGCTGGAGGTGAAGGCTGTAACAGACCTGTGGGCAGAGCATTCATGGCTGAGGGAACAACCAGCACAGTGAGCTTGGCATGAGAAAGGATCACAGGAAGTCCTGTGTGCGGGGAGGGGGCGGGGACGACGACACTAGGGAACAGAGGGCGTGGCAGGTGGAGGTCCTGCAGGGTGCGGTAGGATTTTATTCTGAGTATCAGTTTTAAACAAAGGAGGGCAAGGATTTTATTCGAGTCTATAAAGGAGCATTCTGTCTGAATCTTGAATATAGAGACCGGCGCAAGAGCAAAGACACTGGCCTGGAGGCCGCCACCAGGGGTGCGGCAAGATGATGGCGACTTGGACTGAGGTGGGGAGAAGAGGTAGGGAGAAGCAGTAGGATTGGGGTGTAGTTTGAAGGTTGAGCTGAAGTGGTTTGCCTCCAGATCAGATGTAGAGGAGGGGAAGACTGGTCAAAGTTTGAGCCAGAGACACTGAATTCATAGCCGTGTGTGCATTTCTGGGGTTATGGACTATGGTGGAGTTTTTATTGTGGAGAAAAAAGAATGAAGGCACAGCTACTGGGAGATGATGTAGACTCTCAGGTGGAGTCAGGTAGGTGTGACACACACACACACACACACACACACACACACACAGAGCTGAGATCAGAGATCAACAGTGGAGATTTGTCATGAAGACAGCATTTAAAGATGCAGGACTGAGCAAGCTCATCCGACAAGAGTGTTGGTAGAGACTATAAAGAGGGTTGTAGGCAAAGACAAAGGACACCTTGCCAGTTTTATTTCCTTTTTGGATTGCTTTATGTGTCCCTTTCCATTCTTTTATTTATTTATTTTTAAAATTTTTATTTATTATTTTTATTTTTCATACAGAATAATTTGATCATATTCACCCCCTTCAACTCATCCCAGGTCCACACCCTCATTCCTACCTGTCCCATGCTGTATTTTCCTTTGTTTAAACCCATCCAGTCTGCAAGAACAACCAGTGTTCTTAACCATTGAGTCATCTCTCCAACCCCCATTCTTTTATTTATTAACAACAAGAATAACTATACTGACAAAGAGAACAACAGCCAGTTCTTTGGTAGTATTGCTACGTAACAGATACTGGTCCAAGTACTGTGTATGTATGAATTTATCCAATCCTCATACAGCTCTATGAAGAAGTTACTGTTCTTTCTATTTTATAGGCAAGAACACTGAGGTATAGGCTGCTTAAAGTTGTTTGCTGGAAGTCACACAACTTGAGTGGTCAAGCCCTATTCAACCTGGGTTGTCTCAGCTCCAGAACCCACGATCTTGTTCACCTTCTTCATATCCAAAGAACAGAAACCATCAAGTATTAATTTATCAATGTAATTAGTAATTGTGTGACTAGGAATACTTTCAATTTTGAAATAATAGCAAGTTTAATAATTATAAATGTTTTTGCTAGAACATTTTACATATCTACAAGTCTTTTTCATTTCAATACTTTATGCCTTATATTTGAAAGTAAATTCGTCAAAATCTTAAATATGCTAATATTTACTGGTAGTACAGAATAGTAAAGGTGCAGCTATATTGCAAACATGATTTTAACTTCTTTCTGTCTCAGTTATGCCATCTAATTTAGTTCCTTTTTCATAGTGTTGCCATAGGATTAAAAACAACATTCATAAAGTGCTTGGAACATCTGGCTTTGGTATTATATAAGATCTGCTCTGTTAGTTGAACAAATATATTGTGTCTAGTGTGTGTACAATTGCAGGAAGTGACTCCAGTAAAAGAAAATCCTTGACTATGTACAGATAAATTACTGATATTGCAATATGTTTCTAAATTTGGATGTGGTGGCTCAGACCTGCAATTTTAGCACTTGAGAGGCTGAGGCAGGAGGATCGCCATGAGTTGGAGGCCAGCCTGGGCTACAGAGCAAGACTGTGTCAGGAAACCAGAGTAAAGGCAAGGGCAAGAGTTAGGGCAAGGGAGTGAGAGCAGTCGGAGTCAGGAGATAAGAAGAGGAAGCGGAAGTCAGAGAGAATTCTAGGGTCAACACCACAGAGTCATAAAGTAGAAAAGTCAATAGTGCTCAGTTACAAGAGCAGAGAAGTACCTAATATTTCGACAGAGGACCCAATAAAGAGAGTAGGGTTCTTGCTGTTACTAATCTGTTTGGTTTGGCAATGCCTTGCCATTTGACGTGGTATTTAATCTCTTTATTTTAGTGAGGCTGTGTGAACTTGGCAACCCAATTAGTGTCTTTTTGCGTCGGTTACAGCATATGTGCAGTGGATGAAATAGTAGCTCCTTTATTAGAGAACTGTGGGAAGCACCAAATGAATTAACATATGTGGGTGCCTAGAACAGTGCTTGGCACAGGGTGAGAGCATTGCATCTTTCATTTTTGTGTGTGTATATGTGTATGTATGTATGTGAGTGTGTGTGTGGTGAATGTGCACACGTGTGAGTGCATGTGGAGGCCAAAAGAAGATGCCAGCTGTCCTACCATGTCACTTTCCACTGCATTCCCCTGAGACAGTCTCTCACAGAACCTGGAGCTAGGCTGATGGCCAATGAGCCCCAGCAATTCTCCTGTCTCTGTCTGCTGAAGTGCAGTGACCACACCTGCTTTTCGGTGGGTGCTGGGGATTTGAACCTTGGTCTTCATGACTGGGCAGCAAGTGCTCACTTGCTGGCCTGGAATTTGCTGTGTAGAGAGAGCTGGCCTTGAACTCACAGAAATTTGCCTGCTTCTGCCTCCTGAGTGCTGGGATTAAAGTCGTGTGCCACTGTGTGCAGCTATGGCTCCCGTTTCTATCACAAGTGTTCCCAGGCTTCCTGTACCCCCTGGCCTCTGCGTAATGTTATTTTCTCACAGGAAATTTTTTTAAATAGTGAGAAGTACTGAATTCTTAATATAATTGTTCACAATTAACACCTAATTAATCCAAGGGAATAAGAAATCAACATAAAAATAATTCAAAGGGGAGACGAGGCAAAAATGTTCTAAACACATTTATGTTGGTGTTTTAGTGGGCAGATAAAATAGTTTCATTTCTCAGAGATCTTACATTTTGTCATTTTTGAAATTGCCTTTCATCTACCTTATAAAACCATACTGATGTGTGCAGTAAACTGATGATAAGCTAAATTCTCGAGGGGAGAAATCAATCATATTTTAGCAGTAATTTCAAGGTCCAAAATTACCTCAGTTTTGAATGAGTTTACAGAGTACTATTAAATTTAAATAAGAGATAAGAATCATAGAATTTTACTTGAAATGCCCTTGAAGATCATACTGTCCAACTAAATGTGACCAATGATGGAGCTATAAGTTTGAGAAAGAAGTGGCTTCCCATAGGGCCAACACCCAAGGGCTCCTAACCCTAAGCCTGTTCTTTTCACTGCAGAATATGAACTAAGACTCAGGTGATGGTTTGCTTACTCAGTGTTTTGGAAATAATAAACAACACTTATTGACGTCTTATTAAACACTTAGTAATTTATTTTACTCTTGAAAAACCTGCACAAGGTAGCAGCTATTTTCCTCTGCGTTTTAAGTAGGAGAATACCGCAGCGTGTCGAAGTCAAGGAACCAGCCTATGATGCTGTAAGGGAAGAGCTGATTTCCAAGTATGGATCTCTGACTGTAGACCCCACTGCCAACAGCTCTGTATAGCTTCTCATTTGAGTGGGGCTAAGTGGAAATTCAGTTCTGGGCTGTTTGTAGATCTGGAAAGCAGGGATAATTATAGAATCATGTTTTACAATTTGCAGAACGGGGATCATATCAGCACATATCTTGAAGGGTTGTTGTGACAGTTAAAGGAGTTGAAGTAGAACAAGTTTGGAGAACCTGTTCAACAAGTTCAACACACAGTGGGTATTCAACAAATGTTGGCAGTTGTTATTGCTATTTCTTGGAGCTCTAGTAGCTCTTTCAGAGTTCAGACAGAAGAAGATACCCTCTCTGAAACCAGTCATTAGAGAAAGGTATATGTACACCTGGAAAGTTCCGACAACAATTTCATATTAATTCATTCTCTGGTGTCCCAGAGGGGTGGGGAAAATGGATCTTTTTGAAAAGATGGTACCCTAATAGTATAGGTGGAGGAAGCTATGGAGCGTGCCTTTCCTGTGATGACTTACCTTCCAGCAGTTTTCTCAGTGACTCTCATGAAGGATCACAAAGGCAGGGAAAGTTAGAAAGATCAAACCAGCAGGAGAATTGACTCATTTCTTTTGACAGAGCTTTGGGTTGCAACTTGAAATGAGAGATTCATGAATCCACTCAGATTTGTGCTGTCTTCTGGAGAATTTTCTAGGTGTGGAGGTTGAATGACCCATAGCCCCTCTCTTGAGACTCTTACTGTTTTTGTAACATGAAGATAAATACATAAGTGCTACAATTTCTATAGCACACAAAGTATGGTAATTGGACCAATTAACTTCAAACAAAGAGCTATGGGACTCTTGCTGCCTTTGGGAGGAAGAAAGCTTCTGTGGTTTGTTTTGGCTTGGAGAGCCATGTGTGAGTTTCTCAAGTAATGAAGATAGGTTTCTCAATGGAGAACCACAAGGCGTTTCTGTATTCAGAAACCTTGTGTCTGGGTGAAGGCCATGTTGAGGAGGGGGTGAGTGCCCTAGAGAGGGTAGATGGGAGTTACTTTATGAAGGGTTGTTTTGAATAAGCACATGAGTAGTTCATTTTTGTAGTACGATGGTCAGAAGACCATGCCAACCAGAGGGACAGAGACAATCAGAGGCTTCCATATTCCATCAGATGATGGGACCAAGATATGATGAAGGTCTAAACAATGAGGACTGAGAAACGAAGTGAGAGAGCCAAAGCAGACCTGACAGTTTTAGTTACCAGCTGTCTATGGAATTGACTGGTGGAAAGTGGGCAACTGAAATGGATCGTGGGGTTTCTGCTTTGTGGAGAAGTAAATGAGTATCAGAGCAAGAATTCTCAGTAGGAGCTGAGCTGGAAATGAGTGTGTGGTTTTGGCTCTTTTTGGCCTGCAAAAATTTCTTTGTCGTCTTGCTTCAGTTTGCAACATGTATATATCTTGTCTCCCTAATAACATTACAGATATTGTTGATTGAATGAGTTGTGTAGGCTACTGATGGGATAGAATGTTTTCTGTGCTAACGGGAACTATACAGATACATCATAGAGGAAGTCAGGGCAATGAGAACTTTCCATAAGTGGAAAGCCTGAGGGAGCAGGCAGTATAGTCCCAGGTGAGACGTAGTGCAAGAAGTGAGGTGGGCTATGGCATTTAGGAAGACCAGGATGCAGAACTGATAGGGGGTCGTCTGATGAGAACAGTCATCATGGGCAGTGTGATGATGTTTCTTATAGTTGCAATTGTTTTGTGTCCTTTTCATTTGGTACATGGCATTGCCTATACATATTTATGTGTGTGCATGGCCACACACATACACACAGAGACACTACACAGACACAGACAGACATACACACAGACATACACAGACACAGATACACACAGACACACAGACACAGATACACACACATAGACACACCCACATACAGACACACACACAAACACACATACACACACAGACACACACACCACACACTTCCCAGCCCTCCAAGCAGAAAATGGAATGCTCCCTTGCTGGCAAGAAGCATGTATTCGTTCACATCCTAGGCTCACTGAACATAGTGATCATTTTCTAAATTTGTTTATTTCTAGATAGAGTTTCTTGGAGCAATCTTCTGTTCATTGAGGTATAGTTCAAGACAAAATTTTATGGTTTTTTTTCTTTTAGTTTTGAGAACCTTTTAAAAGTTAGATGACCTCTATGAGGGTATTGTAGCATACTGTTAAAGAATGTGTGCAAAGGAGCTGGGCTGTCCGAGTTTGAACTTAGGGTTCTATGTGTGTGACTTGGGCTTGTATGAACGTCATAGGTTCTAGAGTCCTCAGGGGTGGGAAGGAGGTAGCAGCAGTGTTTACCTTGAAGAGCTTCATGGAGTCCAGTGAGATAAAACATGCTGATATCTCAGCACAGTGACTGGCACATGCAGACACTCGATGAGCATGAGGTTGTTCATGTAGCAGTAAGAAAAGTGGCCCAACATGTTAGTGTTTTCTGGGTGTGTGTTGTAAAGAAGTGGCAATGCAGAGGCAATTTCCTTATCTTCCAAGTAGTGCCTCATGCAGGCTGCCGGGGGGCCCTTAGTCAAAACATGTTACACAGTTCTGATGGTCATGTATCTCAGCCTGCACTGCCATTGGTGATAATCCGGTGCGTGTCTCACTCACCTTCCCAGTTAGTCCTTAAGCCATCCTTCCAGGATCAAGAAGGAAGGCTTTGCAGATGGTTAGCTGTCAAACTTGGGATAGCATTTGCTCACTATCGTTATTGAGTACTTACTGGGCATTAGAGTGAAAGAGGAACCATCTCATTCTCTCACCAGCATCCCACCAGTGTAGATTTTTGCCTTGATCTGGACCTAGCAAGGTGAGTTATGCAATGCAGCAATTTCTCTGTCTCCAAGGTCACTCACTACCTGTGCATTCACAGCACGGGGTGACTCCAGGTCCCAGGAGCCCGCAGCTGGGGGCCAGAGGAGGAGTTTCTTTACCTGAGGAGCTTCTTTCTGAGAAGGTGATCGCAGGGGTGCAAATGATTGTGAGAAACTCAATGTTGACGTGATGGCCACTTTGAAGCCAGGCTGCCCCAGCTGCCTTGACCATTTACTGTCTCTTCAGTTCATACCTTTGTCCCGAAACGCTCAGTGCCTTTGTCTTCCAATGAAAGCCTGAGTTTGAAGATCACCCTTGAGCCACAGATAAAGCTGGTGGCTGGAATCCTGTAGACCTCAGATTGCTTGTCATGGTTTAGACAGATAGCTCCCAAGTTCCCTCAAGCTGGGTACGCTTCTACCTTCTGATAATGAAGTAGAACGGATTAAAGTGTAAACAGTTTTTCTTTTCCTTTCCTTTCCCTTTTCTTGCCTTCCTCCCCCCCCCCCCCCCCCGCTTTCCTCTCCTTTTAAGACTGTCTCATGTAGCCCAGATGGACCTTGAGGTTGAAGTGTAGCTGAAAATGACCTTGCCCTTCTCATCATACTGCCCCAACTGCTTGGATTATAGGCATGCACCATCATGCATCGTTTATGAAATGCTGGAGATTGAACTCAGGGCCTTATGCATGATAGGCAAGCACTCTGCCATTGAGCTACATCCCCACACCCCAGTAATGCTGTTTCTATTGTTTACTCTGCTGTACATAGGCTCCCATTTTCTGTATTATTTTCATTGAGAAGTTTTTGTTTTAAAGCAAGTATTTGTTTTGTGTGAAGCTTCAGAAGATGTAGTTTGTTTCAAGGTTAATGTACAGTTAAGACTTCATTTGGCTCCTTGACTGTGATTAATTTTTACTTTTTCCCCTCTGACCCACAGTCTGGGCATATGGATTCCTGTCGGTGACAATTATTAATCTAGCCTCTCTCCTGGGATTGATTTTGACTCCACTGATAAAGAAGTCCTATTTTCCCAAAATTCTGACTTATTTTGTGGGGCTGGCTATTGGAACACTTTTCTCAAATGCAGTTTTCCAACTTATTCCAGAGGTGAGCACGTGGGCCATTTGCTTCTGTGAATAATTGCTTCTTTTAAGCATTCTAGTGCTTTGTACATTTTTAACCTCCATAGTTCTCATGCGTTTTATAACTCAGTTTATAGTGTTTTGGGTAAGAGAAAGCTGAATCACACTAAATGTAAAAAGTTTGTCTGTGGCTAAGGATGTCAGTGTCAGAGGCAAAATTACTATCCAGGCGGCCAGGCAGCAGGGCGTGCCCAGACAGCGCTGGGGCACCTCTGAGAGCCTTTACATTTCATTCTGCCTTGCATTTGGCAAATGTAATTTTTCAGCACAATTTTACTGCTTATTTTCTTTTCTGTAAAACATGCAATTTACTGAATATAGACCACAAAATTCCTTCTGTGCTTACCTTAACTCGGCAAGAACAGAGGTTAACTGTGAATATGGTTGACAGAACCTTCCCTTGTAGTTGTTAGTTTTTTTTTTTTTTTTTGACTGAGGAGGAGAAAAATCACCCACAGGTCAGTAAATAAAGAACAACTTTTTTTTCCCTTTGGTGAAAATGTGTTATAGATCTGATATTATTATAGTATGCTGCTCACTTAATCAACCAAAATGTGCATGTTTTATTTCGGATCTTCGCTGTGGCCGTATAAGGAAAAGAAACAATGGAAGGAAAATAAGAGAGGAAAAAGAAGGGGAACCCCAAAGAGGAAGAGACATTAACAGGAGAGGGACCCACAGGGCGAGCAAGAGAAAGCCGGGCAGACAGAGACGACATCTTTGCATATATGTTGTGCATGTAAAGAGGAAGACACAGGCCCCAGGAACAGAGAAAAGAGTATAAAGGGAGTGCTCCTCTTTTACAAAATAACTAAAACTTCATTTAGTTTTTAATCTGTATATAACGAAGAGTTACAGGTTTTTATCCATAATATTTATCTAGAAAGAACTTAGGAAGGAAAACTTACAGTCCAAGGGAATCAAATGACTTGAGTGTAGCCATACAACTTGCTAATTACTGATGAGGATAATGATTCACATTTTCTTGTTAGAAATACATTTGTAAGATATATTTAATGCAATTCAGTGTTCTATGTATGAGTACTTATTATCTACTCTCTGTGAGTCACTCAAGGCAAATATTGCTGTAGGTGCTACGGAGACGCAGTAGCAAGATCTGGCAGCTTTAGTTATAAAGTTTCAGTGCATTGCTTGTGGTTTGCTTATTTAAGTTTCAGAGTATTTTTTTTGAAGATGGATTTACAACTTTGGGGCAAATCGCATACTACGAAATTATAATATTGTTTTCTAGGAACCAAAATCAACTACTTGGTTTTATCTGAATTTTCTTGTCCCCTCCTTAGGCATTTGGATTTAATCCCAAAATTGACAACTATGTTGAGAAGGCAGTCGCTGTGTTTGGTGGATTTTACATACTTTTCTTTTTCGAAAGAACACTTAAGATGTTATTAAAGACATATGGTCAGGTAAGCAGACTACTGAAAACATTTGTTATGTTACTTTGAAGGCTCCTTAATATAAGCAGAAATCTTAGAATTAAGTGAACAGACTACTTATTATACTTGTAAACGTGAAGAGAATGAAAAGTCAATGCGTTGACAAGATAAGAAAAATACTCAATTCATATCATAGAATTTGGAGCAAGTACCCACAATTTAATATCAAATAATAGCTATGCATAACTTGTATCCTATACATATTCATCAAAATAAGAAAGTATCTGTCCCCTATTGTGAAAAAAAATCATAGACTCTAATACATGAGACTATGGTTAAAGAAGGAGAAGTTTTGTTACTTTAAAGAGATTTCATTACAATAGAGCAGATATAAAAATAGACTGTTTTCTCATCTGTGTGGGCCACCCTTTTTCTTCTTATAATCTTTTCATTCTTTTGGTTTGTTTTCACATACAGAATGACCATACCCATTTTGGGAATGATGACTTTGGTTCTAAAGAAAAAGCCCACCAACCTAAAACGTTACCATTACCTGCGATCAATGGAGTGACATGCTATTCCAACCCTGCTGTTACAGAGCCTAATGGACACATCCACTTTGACACTGTCAGTGTGGCGTCTCTCCAGGTATGGTGCCTGCATTTTCTGTTACTCTACTGCATGCTCTTTTTCTGTGTAAAGGCAGGCATAGATGCAGCCAAGTCAGTGTTGTTGTACATTACAGGTAGTGCTGGACCTTCCTATGTGAGTGGGATGAGTCTGTTTTCTTTTTCTGCTCTCCTTCTAGGTGTTTAACGTGAGAACAGAAGTTAACCGAATTGTGCAATTCTTGGTCTTGGGATTCACTGTTCTCTGAGGTTGTTTGGCTATGCGAGAGTTTCTCAGTTAGACATGTAAAATATGAAGTAAAGTTGATTCTGAGAATTTCTTATATTTAAATTCCTTCAGGATCACAAACCAAAAGATCTTCCTTTTGAGTGATTTTGAAATTACAAGAGGATTTGAAGACTTTGAAAGTTGTGTTCATTACTTAACGGACTTAATTTATATTTGCATTGTTTAAAGAATATTAATAGGCACCATTTAAATCTTTTTGACCAATTAATTTTCTTATTTTGACCAATTTTTATTTTATGTGTGTGAGTTCTTTTATTTTTTTGTTTATGAGCATGCATGTATGTTAAGTGTACCAATATGTGCAATGCCAAGGGAGAACAGAAAAGGGTGTTGGATCCTCTGGTACTGGAGTTAAAGATGGTTGTTAGCTGCCATGTGGGTGCTGGGAACTGAACTGATGTCCTCTGCAAGAGCAGCCAGTGCTCCTAACCACTGAGCCATCTCTATAGTCCAATAGGTACCCTTTTAAAGCAGCTATTCCATGACAAGTAATATTCTAGGCAATTATTAATTTTATCTCATCTACTTTTCATAACTATTCAAAGTTTCAAGTGATTGGACTCACATTTAAATCATTATGGCTAAAGGATGATTTTTTTTCCTTTGGCAAGATACTAGAATGTTGAATAGGAATGACAAGCTACAGGAAGAGCAAGAACCCAGGGGCTGTCAGCACCATCAAGACCCCTACTTTCCTCTAGCATTTCAGCATCATTTTCTGTTCCCTGTGCACACTCTTTCCAAAGAGGGAAATGTAGCTGACAACTCCTGATATTTATATTTTATGATGTCAGCATTTAATAGGAAATTGACCTCTCTCATTCTTAAATCCAGAATCTCTTATTTATTTATTTATTTTGGTCCACCTTGAGTTAGGCACTCACTTTTATTTAAATCATTTTGATTTATTTATTTTTATTTTATGTGTACAAGTGTTTTGCCTACATGTATATAAGTGCACCGATGTCATGCGATGCCAGTGAGGGCTAGAAGAGGGCATTGAAGCTTCTGGAACTGGAGTTACAGGTGGTTGTTAGCCACCATGTGAGTGCTAGGAAGCAAATCCCATACTCTACAAGAGCAGCCAGTGCTCTTAACCACAGAGCCATCTCTCCAGCACTGCAGCCACATTTAGACTAAGTATTAAGATGGTTAGCCTCCTTGTTTGGCTTTGAAGGAATATAGCACCAATTTAATGGGAGATTGTCTAATGTAATGTAATGAATGATGCTTCCAGCTAAGATTTCTCAAAGAATACAGAAATGTCCAAATAGATAATTTCCTATAATAATCACAACTAACATTTCTTAAGTGTTCAAGGTCTATGTCTGGAGCAGTAGATTAATTACCTTATTTGATTCTCATAAACTAGAGGACAAGCACTATTTTAATTAAGATACTATGACTTACAGAAGTTAATCAACCTAATATAGAATACAGACAAATAGAAAGGTGCTTATTAAAGAGGGTTGCTAGGAGGATGTTGTCATTGGTGTCCACCGCAATGTGCATCTGACAGATGGAGAAGATGATGTTTTGAAGTTGAATAACCTCTCCAGTATCACTCAGCCAATAAGTGTGCATACACAAGCTACAAATAAGTGTAATATAAAAGTAAGCAATTAAAACGAAGAGGAAAACCAACTAAGATAAAGACAGCAGAGAAATATCTGAAAGAGGTTGCTATGACAAATAACTTGAGTTTTCTTCTGGAAAGTGAATATGGTTGGTCACATACTTCTCTCCATCCTATGAGGGGAATCTTAAATATATTTCAGGTAGCTTTGTGCTAGCACTAAGCTAATGGGAAATTATTTAAGATAGAGTAGTGAATGATGATTTTAGTTAAGGTTAATCAAAGAATATGGAAATGTCCAAGTAGATAATTTCTTGTAATAATTTACAAGAAACATTTATTACGTGCTCAAGATCTGTGTCTGGAACAGTAGATGAATTACCTTATTTGATCCTCATGAACCAGGAACAAATCATGTAACAGGTAGGAGACTATCATTTAGAGAAGTTAGCCAAAACAAGGACACTCAACTTCTACGAGGTAAAGTTTGGGCTATACTGGGGCCTGGGTGATGCTGTGTTCTTACATACTTTCTTGATCCTCCCTTCCCATTCTGCTTTATTAGAAATAAGATGTCAATATTAACTATTGACAATAAATATTTTCCTGGGGGAAGAAAGATAACTTGGCCCAAAAGTATTGTTTTCAGAGGATAAAATTTAATTTAGGGCACAATAGAGAGGCTCTAGGGAATGATAGGAAAACCTTTCCCATGTGTGTGTCTAAATCCCAGCTGCTTTGTGTAAGCTTTAGCAGATAGTGGATCCTAGTGAAATCATGGCTGAACTTTGTACCACCCAGCTATGCTTCCAACTTAAACACTGGTTAACACCAGCCTTGGTGATATAGGTTTCTAATCCCAATTACTTGGGATGTTTAGGCAGGAGAATTTCAATGTCAAGGCCAGTCTGGGCTATAGAGTGAGTTCAAAGCAAGTTTGGGCAACATAGTGAGAATTTCTTAAAGTGTGGGAAAAAGGGCTGAGGGTGCAGCTTAGTACTACAGTACTAAGGGTCTAGGTTTAATCCCTCACACAAAATTAATCAAGCAAAAACCCCTTCAGGTATCAGCTGGCAGAGTATCTCCAAGTGATACTCTGCCATGAAATTTAGAGCCTGATCTTTATCCTGAGGAAGGTTGTTCTCTGTCCTCCAGCGTGGATAAGACCGTGTCAGGCAGGGCTGCCCTTCCATTGAGGAGTATGAACCTGGACCAGACTTGAGCAGGACCTTCACTGACATCTTCAGGTTTCATAACCCAAAGCATGGAAAATAAAGAGCTTTGGATTTAAAATATTTGAAGAACTATTAACCTCCATAGCAGCAGCAGAACCCCCGTGTGAACTCTCTGATAGACCTGATTTCAGGAACATTCTTTCCTTTCTGTTTTTTTTTTTTTTTTTTTTTTTTAAGACAGGGTCTCCCTGTAGCCTCAGCTGGCCTGGAACTTACTCTGTGGACCAGACTGGCCTTGATTTCCGAGATCTACTTGCCCCTACCTTCTGGGTGCTGGGATTAAAGGCTTGCACCACCATGCCTAACCAGGAAAGTTCTTTTTGATGTGATGAACCTATCAGAGTGAACTCTCTGTCAAATGTACTTCAAGTGCCAGGGTGAGCTGGTTTAATGATTCTATATGGATACCAAGATGTCTACCAAAGTCTTCTGTAAGGGGTTAAAACATTATCCAATTCATTTAGTGTGTGTGTGTGTGTGTGTGTGCGCATGTGCACGCACGCACATACGTGCCACAGTATGTATGTGGAAGTCAGAGGACAAATTTTGGAGCTGGTTCTCTCCTGTGATGTGGGTTCTGGGAAATCAAACTCCAGTCTTCAGGCTTGGTGCCAAGCACCCTTACTTGCTGAGCCATCTTACTGGCCCCCGAAACATTTTTTAAAATAAACTGAACTTCTCAAAAGTTTGGATTTGAAGTATTAAGTTTCCTGGTTTAGGACTAGCTCTGCCAGAAGGTATGTTTCCAGCAAACCTAAGCACCAGGATGAAGGTGGGTCCTAGATATGATCTTGCTTTATGTAGTTTGTAAACATCAATCGAGAGGCCATTTGTACTCTGCTTGTACAGGCGTTCACTCATTTTTCCAATAAATATTTGCCAAGTACTTGCTTACTGCCCTAGGCATGGGGATTCAGAAGCAAACATATCCTCTTACTTTACATCCTCTTACTTTGTGCAGTGGCAATAGTAACCAACAGTGAAGCAGGAAGGCATCAAAAAATGATAAATATTTTGATGAAAATAAAACATGATGCTTGAGAGTGACATGAGGGGGCTTCCTTTGATTGAACGATTAGGGAAGATTCCCCTCAGAAGGTCAGAAGAGGACTGACTGGGTAGTGAGAAAGAGCTGTGCAAATATCTAAGAAACGAATGCTGTGAAAACGTCCAGAACAAGCACGCCTGCAGGGGAACTGGAAACTGAGTGGTGTTGAATTCTGGAGCACCAGCCCTGGATGCCACTGACCTCTAGGACTTGGAATAGAAGCTACTGGAATTTTACCCCTATGTAAACAACAAATTTATGGATAGCAGAGAACAGGGCTAGAATTCTGGAAACACACTTTAGGAATTACACATCAGCTGAAGAAGGCAGAGGAGAAGTGTCCCTGGATGGTGCCTGTGCACCAGGTCTGAGAGGAGCCACAAGAATACGACTGACATTGGTTTCTTATCGGGACTGTTGTCTGGACATTTTGTTGAGGAACAGTCTTGAATGAAAAACAGTTTAAACAAACTAACTACATGCTGCTATTTTCAGTTTTCTTTCGAGTATATAAAGATGCAAATAGAATTTAAGAAGCAGTGTTGACGGTCTAGATCTTGCTCCAAGAGGTGGCAGATGCTGCAAGATAAGTGATAGTGGTTTTAATAAAAATGGAAGTATTTTCTAGTGTTTTATATGAGATAATTAGCTTATTGTAGCTGACCCTGTTAAGATGGTTGAAGATGATAAGTAAAATTCATGGCTTGTCTGAATCCAAGTGTGGCTTCAAGAATTTTATTGAAACTTTCAGTTGTTACTGTTTCAACACTGAAAAATTTCTAAGCTGAAAATAGTAAAAAACTATTCCAATTATGAGTTAAGAAAAGGGGTATAATTTGACATTATATCAATAGGACACACAATACACAGC